GGTACAATATTAAACAATGATTAAAGAAAATATATAATGCCTATTTGTTCTACAATAATATGACACAATATATATTGTTGACAAAGCAACACTATCAACTGAACTCTGCTCAGAATCGTTTTTTCGTTAGCAATGGTTTATCGTTGCTAACAGATACACACTGAATTCCCTTCTGTGTCCTACCTTCCCAGCTTCCGCAACAGTGGCCACACCCACGTGCAAACGCGTCCCGCCCGTCCCGGACTCGCGCCTTTTATTAATCGAGCCGAAATCGAGTATTTTTCATTCGATATTCTCTCCCGAGAGTGTCCGCCGCAGTCCTACGAACGGGTTACCAGTCGTATTTAATTCCTCCCGCGCATTTTTTCTCCCGCTGTTATTATAGCCCAGGTACAACACGTATATATTATGACCACTGGTCTGAGATACGTCTTATTAATAGCTTTTGTTTGGATTTTCTAGACAATAGAGTTTTTAGTTGCGCACAATGATTTGGATTGTCGGCCTTTAAACGGAGTTTAATACAGTATAATGTGTGCCCAATTGACCGCAAACGATAATAACAACACGTTGTACGTTTTTGTCCACAGAACCTCGTGCGGCAAATGGAACTGCTGAGCAAGTCGAAAACGGACGTTTCGGCGGAGCTGAACAAGAGCAAAGAGGATAACGAAGAACTGAAATTCCAAGTGAGAGAGCAGCGGGGTCGCTAGGACGCGGTGTCGGGCGCGAAAAAGACTGTGTATTTTTATGATGATGTGTATGTGTTTGTTTTAGCTGGAGGAGAAGCGCATAGAGCTAGAGGGGACCATGGCTCGGGTAAGGCTGTTGCAGTTGCACCAAGAGCAACAGCAACACGGGCCCGTCTGCGGCGGCGCGGGACAGTCGACCAATAGCAATAAGACGACGACAACCAATCAATGGTTGGACCTGGTGCCATCTAATCCGATTTTACCTCAGATCGCGTTGCCGGCCACTCCGTCCCCGGCCGCGGTGACGGCCACTTCGCATCACCAGCATCTCAATCACCATCACCATCACAACAGCAATCACCACCAGCAACAACAACTCCAGCACCAAGACGAGAACGGCGGCGGCGGCAGCAGCAGCACCGAGTCGGCGCACCAGGCGCGCAGCAGCAGCGGCGGACGGCACCAAGGCCAGCCGAGCAAAATCCCCGTGGTCAAGTCTTCGTACTCGGTGCCCCGGCCGCCGTCGTCGTACCGCGAACACCTGCACCACTCGCCCCGGGACCCGTACCCGTCGTGGAACAAGTGTAAATCGGACCAGTCGTTGCCGCGGAACTGGGAACCGATCAACAGCAAAAGCGGCGGCGGGTCGTCCATCGGCAGCGGTGGCGGCGGCAGCAGACTGCAGCGCGGCGCCGCCAACGGCACCGGCAGACAGGACTCGTTGCAGGACAACGGCCATCACGCGGTCAAGCAGCACGGTTATCACAGGTCCCGGAAGGATTCGGGAAGCGGCGGCGGCGGAACGTCTTTGACGCGCGCCAAATCTCAAAACCATCACCAGCGCGCCGCCGCCGCCGCGCACGTGGCATCGCTCAAAGACAGGACCGCCGGAACCGCGACGGCCGCGACGACGGCCGGTTCGCAATCGTCGGCGGCCGACGATACCAACAAGGTACGGCCCACCAAGAGGATCGCCAACATACTTAACAGTTGGATGCGGAAATCCTAACGGAAGGTTTTCTTATGTATACGCGTATATACATATATATATATATATTATATAGTAAATCAATACACGAAAATACATAATAAATATATACATATATATATATATATATAGGCGTATACGGCACATACCGTATATATATATAAAATACATATCCGAACCATGCGGCGTATACACACGCACATTAAAAAAAAAAAAAAAAAAAAAAAAAAAAAACTTTTTTTATATCACTCCGACGACGATTAATTACGTACCGTCGTATTTTATTTTTTTTTTTAATTAATTCCAGCGTGTGTGTGTGTGTGTCTGAGTGCGTGAGAGAAAAAGGAAAAAATCGCCATCGTCACATTTCACTGAAAATTGAATACATTTTTTTTTTTTTTTTTTTCGTAAATCGATCACACCGCGAACACCACACAGTCACCGCAAAAAAAAAAAAAAAAAACAAAAAAAGAAAAAAAAATATCGAACGAAAAATCTGTTATACAAAAAAAAAGAAAAAAAAACACAACTATATATATACGAATACCGGAAACAGATTAGCTTCTCAATGTACGCTTGTTTGCTTTTTTGGATTTACAGTTGTTAAAAAATACAAATTATATATATATATATACATATGTCCCCGAAATTACCGCCACGTTCACACTGGACGACTCAAGTCGGCCGAAACCCGTAAGTCTGATAATATATCTTTTTTTTTTTTTGTTTTGTTTTTTTTTTTTTACTAAGTTTCAAAATTTTTTTTTAACAACCTTCTTATACCCTTTTTTATTTTATTTTTTACAACGTTCTGTAGAGTTGTGGCTTATTGCATGATAATATATACGTACTGTACCGACCCCAAATAAACGGCCGCCCTTATATATATATACCGCCGATGTCCAACCGGGTTTTCGGGGGGGGGGGGGGGGGGGAGGTTGCCCGCGTCACTGCCGTTTCGTTTTCTCCGTCCGTCCGGTACGCCGCAATTCCAAGTCGAACGAAAGGCATTATCCGCCATTTCCGGTATCGCGACTCCCGCCGGTCGAGATCAACGGGCGTGGGGCCTGACTTCTGTTGTTCGTACGTTTTAAAAACGGTTTTATTTACTTTTTTTTTTTTTTTTTTCTATCGCGTTTTGATTTTCTCTCGGTTTCAACGGCCGTTAATACTAACGAACCCCGTGTATGATTGGATTTTTTTTAAATCGTTCGCAACATCCACACACATAGTAAATATACTCTTTTATTTATTACCCGTACAAAACGTTTGAAATTTCCCCCAAACTCCGCCGGCGAGACTCGCAATCGCGGAACGCCTTTGTCGGTTTGTCGCACGAGACGCCAGAGAAAACGAATGATGTCGCCCCCCGTGGGGATTGGAAACTGTGATTTTCCGTTTTCGTCCTTATTACCAGAAAACATGCTTATTCGGCATAAAGGCCTTTTTTTTTTTTTTTTTTTTTTTTTTTTTTGTCGTAAACAAATATCAAACAAACCTTATTATGTTCTATCGAACCGATAATCGTGTTTCGTAATAATAATATTTTTATATAACGTTCGACGCGCCCCCGCCGGAGGAAACCTCGCGTCCCGGAATGTCGACGGGCCGAAAAGCGGACTCGAAACTTTACTCGTGTGAAAAAAACCGGTCATTTTTTCGTGGTTTTTTTTTCCCCCCCGCGATATCGTCGTCCGTCGCGTTTTCGGGACGATCCGCATGAACGGCGCGACGGCGTTTACTCGTAATGTAAAATAATATTATAAACGTAAAAAAAAAAAAAAAATTAAAAATTCCCCCGTACAAACAACCGAGAATACAATAATTTCGATTTAAACCTTGACGCAATAAACCGAAACGCGTCGCTCGCGGCTATCGCTCAATCCCGACGCCGCCGCATATCCATTGTTTTTTTTTTTTTTTTTTTTGCGGCGGCGGATTGTTTTCCGTCCGTGCACATCGCTGTGCGACAAGGTCGCCGGTATAATCGTTTGATATAATTTTTTTCGCACGTCCGTACGTTATGTTTCCCGAACTCTGGTTTTTTTTTTTTTTTAATTAGATCCGAATATATTTAAAAAGCACCACGCGTGTTTCGTTGACGAAATTTCCATCCGTTTCGGCGGACCGAATAACCCGGACCACACTATATGTACACTTTTGTTTTATCCTATGGTTTCCGATAGACGGGAAGTGTAAACTATTCCGGAAAATAACCGTACATCGGTTGTTTTACTTTTAATCGGAATTTATTGTATTGACGGCGATCTATACACCCTTCGCCTTTTCAGAAAATTTTTCCAAACGTTTAAATTTCAAACCGAGACGGTTGAGAACAGATCACAAATCTCTCTCTCTCTCTCTCTCTCTCTATTTCTCTCTGTATGTCTGTATCTGTCTGTCCGTTTCTTGCTACGATTCCTCAGATCGGTCCGCGTCTTTTCGGTCATTCGAGTTCATTATAATTTTAATCATTTTCAAAGGACATCCAAGTGCCGGTTATATATTATTGCCGGGTCAATCCGCTATCCGTTTCGTCTTATCGTAATTTTTTCCGTCTAACCCGAGGCGATTTAAACGTGCACAGTATACGTTATCGTCTTGATTACCTACTATCTGTTGTATCGATACAATTCCGGTCCGGATATCTGTTGGAATATTTAACTTTATTATTGTCTGTGGATAAATTTTACGGCTATTCAAAAAAATGAATTATCATTATCGTATTTTTAGCGTCCGGTTATAGAGCACCGGGCGTGCGTTTATTGCGGATGAGTGTAATAATATTGAGAGGGGGAGGGAGAGCTCTTCAAGGTCTCTCCGTCAACGTCGTCTCATCTCGTCGTCTCCTCCGTCCTGCGCTAATGTACGAGCGCTATATAATTATACTGTTACGATAATTTAATTTTTTTTTTTTTTGTTCTTTATTTACCATTGTGATTTTTTTTTTTCTAATTCTAAACTCCGAATCAAGGACGAAAACGGTACCCGCCACATATTATAAAACGCGTACGCGTGTGGGTCTCCGGCCATCGCCGCCCTCGTAGTATTATTACAACAAACCACAACGTCTGCGTGTATTATTTTTAATTTTCCCGTATGCGTATTATAATACATAGACAATGATTCATTGCCTCCCACACCCCCTCATTTCCTTTCTTCCCGTCCCGTCACGATATTATATTGTCACCCGAAAAGCACATTGCGCACGACGACTACTACGACGTCCTCCACTTTGTCATATTATTATAACATTTTGTAATATTATTTTGTCGTGCACGGCGTAGACGGATTTTTTTTTTTTTTATAGTTTTTTTTTAAATATTATACACGAACGCCGCCACCGCCGCCGCCGCTTTGTACAGTGTATGCAGGGTAATTTTTTTTTTTTTTTTATCACGGTCCAGCGAGATTTCGTCGTTTGAGGATTCTAAACGAATTCGATTTTCGATTTTTTTTTTCCCGCAATCATTATTTTCACACCGTTTTCAAAACGACACCCACTATTATACACTGGTTTCACTATTTCTCAAACGAGTATTGCCGTTTGATTTTAACCCTCCTTCGTACGCGTTTTTGATTTTTTACATCAAATTCGAAAGGTCAGGTTTCTTTCTAATCATTTCAATACGCACAACACCATAATTTAGACCGGAGTAACATCAGTCGGGAATCGTATCGATTTCTCACCACCGTCCTCGATCGCGATAATTCAAACCGTGTTCTGTACGTAACGGTAAATGTCGGTTTGAAAAGGCGACGGGTAGTAAAGTCGCTCACAAGTGTTTTATGTTGACGTGATTATCGAGGGTTACGGAATAAAACTGTATAGAAATTTCGAAAATATCGTCTAGACTGTCTAGACACGATCGTTGTTGAACGGGGTTCGGTATAATTGCCGAAATATATCCGAAATCGATTTTACCCAAATATCCGAACGCGGTAGGCGTACATGCCCAATCGCCGGACCGTGATTATATTGTATAGAAATCGTCCTGTATTTATTATATTATACGCGTAATACACCGTGTACACAATCTATAAGTGGATAAAAAAATTATGTATATATATTGATAAAAAAAAAAAAACAAACGAACACAATCGTTATATTGTCATGATAATACGTATAATTATAATAACGCAAAACGACCGCCGGTATCATAATAGAGGAGATACCTGCCTAATATTATATACTGGCCGCGCATTTGCAGTTGCGTCCGCGTGCGGAATACGGTAGTAGATTTTTTTTTTTTTGTAATCTCGTTGTCGCCCGTTTTTTTTTCAAATTGTATTTTATGGTTGATAATAATAACGTACGCTATACACTGTAATAATAATAATTGATACGGTGTCGGTTCTTCGGTCGGTTTTCTTTTTTTTTATTATTATTATTTTTTTTTTTTTTAGCGGCGCGCCTTTTTTCCGTTCCACGTCGACCGCAATCTCTGTCCGATTTCCGGGCGCCGGATTATCGTGTCCGGTAGTCACGGGCACGTATACACGCGCCGTTATTGTTTTTATTTCGTATGCGCGGTCCGGACCGCGTTTCACATGTTATTGACGTTTCCCCGCAATCGAAACGAGCCGCAGACGCGTACGGAATCGCAAACGCCGTAACGCTTGGTGTCCGCCGCGGTTTGTCCGTCGACCACTCGCGCATATAGGCTTTAGGTGGTTCTGTAGGAAGAAAACTAAGGGGCCCCCCGGGAATAACGATTTAGATCGGCGAACAACGGCGATGGGATTGCTCGGGCCGCCGAGCTGCCGGGGAGAACGAGAAGAACGAAGAAAGAAGGCTTCAGGAGCCTTTTAGGAGGTCGCTCGCACCCGTGACTGGGGAAACGGCAATTTATACGCACTTGAAATCTACAAAGAAGCGCTCGGAAAATATTTAAAAGGACACATTACAATAAAACGGCAGAGTGGTTTAAAAGTCTCTCCCCTCTCCCTCTAATACGAGTTCTGACTCATTAAAAATACTATGCGTCAATAATCATTCGTCGGAGTTGGAAAATTACAACATCAAATAGGGTTAGAACCGTTAGAGGAGGGGGGGTGGGTTGAGACTTTATAACCCGTCTGTCGCCTTTTTATAAATGTTTTCAAATGATCTCCGGACGATTCGAGCGCTTTATCGCGGTTTTTAAGTGCGCGATAAATCCGTTCCTCGTTTTTTACCGTCGATCCATACGCCCCGGCAGGTTTCGGGCGTACACCCGGGACGCGTTTAAAACGTGTACCGGTTTATAAAGCGCCGAGGATTCGCGTTCGCGCCCGCGTGATAGGAAACGTAAACGCGCGTCCGGGCGCGCGAATTGTTGTCAATGTTGTTGCGGTTTTCGACTAGAGCCCTCCGGAATGTCGTCGGCAACGATTTCGGAGACCGAGAGAAGCGATAAAACGCGTCCGCTCCCGGCCCGGTCGCGAGCGACTGATCAGCGGTGGTTTTGTTTGTACCGACGAAATGGCGGCGGCGCAGGCAGAGCAGCCGGTTTTGTTCGGCCGACGACATTTCCCGCGTCTAACTCAATTTATCGCATTGTATTTCTTCCGGCAATAATAGCGTTCGATCGGCGGCGGCGAGAATTTCCCACTTGGCCGAGGGAAAAAAAAAAAACCGCGGCGTAATTTGATTGCAATAACATTCAAATCGATCGCGACAACAATTGTTGTAGAACATTACGACGAGACGGCCGTCGTCTGACCCGGCCGTGACGTTGTTGGTTTTAGGTGTACGGCGATTTGATTTACACGATGATTTACTAAAACTTCAACGATACATTTCGTTGCGAACGAAAAATGATTCTGAGCGGAGCTCGGCGGATCCCGGTCGTTGCGTTATAAACCCGGAAATCGTCGACAAAAAAAAAAAAAAAACCGACATTTACACCGTCGGTTTTTTTTATTTATTTTTTACGAACGAATATCGGGAATTTCGACAATTGTTTCGAATATCGCCGAGTGAATATATCCGCGTTCGGGGGTACTGTATTGTTGTACCGGTTAAAATTATACTTCCCGCAAACGCAATATTTTCGACATTTTATAATGATTGTTAAAAAAAACTCGTCGACACAATATTTTCCTGCCGTGGATTTTTTTTAATTTTTTTTTTATCGATAAACTACCACCACATTCTACAGATCGCGTTGAACGCCTATTTTTTTTTGTTTAATTTCAATTAACTGTATAAAAAAATATCGGTGAAAAATATTAATTAAAAAATCGACTATTACTCGAAATAAAAATATTGAAAAACGGAGTTGGACGCGGTCCGCGGGAAATCTTCCCGTTTTCGTAAAATAAATTACTATCACCGGGTCACTCTACGACGGGGCACGAGAGTAATTCCCGTGGGCCGTTTTTTCGGATCCCCGTCGGCCGACAACCAGGCGCCAAAAGTTAGAGAATTTACTACGGTCGCCACTTCCCTAATTCGTTCGCCGTGTACGTCAATTACAGGCCCGCATCGTAATCCGAGCAATAACGAACCCCAATAATGAATTCCTGTCCCGCATCGTTTAGGGCCCCTGCCGGGGTCGCGCGACGGTTTTCGTCTTCCGTGTATTTTTCATACCGGGTGATCGTCATGTTCGACTACCGGCGGATTTCTATTCACTCTCGCGGCATACGGCGCGCAATATTTACAGCCGAACGTTATATTATATTTTGCCCGTCTCCACGTGTAAATCCGTATCCAGTGCTCGGACAAATGAAGAACGAAGATGGGATGGGGGTGTAATAAAAGACTCAAATTAAATGATGATAGAACTCGACCTGACCCACGGGTAATTATTGTTATAGGGGTTCGCTGTTTAGCGCGCTCGCCCTCCCCACATTTCGAAAATTGCCTCTGTACGAACATGAAAAATTCCTGACCCCGAGTTTATTATAATATGAAAAAGAAACTGATAAAGAACGCGTACGATGGACGGACCTCTGTTGTTACGGGGGAAATCGGAAGGGAGGATACGTAGAGTAATTTAATTTACGTGACGAAAAACGATGCTGAGCGGAATACAGTTGGCCGGATATCGTCCCGTGTATTTGCCGCGCAAACCTAGAACAGAAATCGGCGAAAATTCCATTTGTTCAGATAACTACGAGAGAAATTTTTTAAAAAAAACCGGCCGTTTTCCCAGAAACGGTATCGCGAAATGTGGAACCCGTGGATTTTTCGATCGGAGCGAAATTTCCGGTTGAAAAAAAAATTGTCTACTGACGCTCGGGTGGGGGGGGGAGCGGAGGGACCGTAATAATTTCGTCGATTCGCTCGGAATCTAAAATGGAAAAAAAACGTAATCTCTTTAAATCAAAAAAAAAACAACGACAAATTATAGCGGTTTAACAATGTACGCTATAATAAACGAAATAATGACACGTGTCGTAGAGCGCAGCGTTTCGCGCGTTTAAATAATTTAATCGTCCCGTATGCGCGCGCGGGCGCGAAAACGAAAGCCGAAGAGTCGCGTCGATTTCCGTTCCGTCGGGGGCGCGCGGATTAACGACGGCCCGTTTCCTCGTTGTAAAATCGCCGTTTTTTTTTTTTTTTGTCATTCTTTTCCAAAATATTCGCGCATAGAAAGTCACGCCCGCAATTCGAATCGCGCCGTCGAACAATCGCGCCGAACACAACGTTGTAAAGACGGTCGACGGCGCAGGAATTTTCTATTATGCACGAATTTTCCGTCTCGGAAAAGTGTTCCGCGGACAACGCGAAACCGCGGCGCTGGTATGCGGCGGCGACGGCGGTAACGCATGAACGAAAATCATAATTTTTAATTACTACAGTCTCCGAAAAACGGGGTTTTTCTCTCGGCATTTTCCCCTTTTCGTTACTCCGTTATACAGTGTGGCATTTTACTCGTGCTCAATGTAATCCGAACATTCCAAACGCCAATCCAATCGAGCATCGTCCGAATAAAATGTCGTAGTTATTAAAAACAAAAAACGCCAGTTTTTTTGTTGATCAAGTTAATCAAGCACTCGACTCGAATTCTCGAATTTATTCGTGTAATCGACCGTTTTAAAAAAAAAAGTATTAAATGTGCGCATCGCGTATCCGAATCGGCTGCCGTCGACGTCGCGCTATACCTATCGAACAGTCGGCGGGAAATGTGCGTGACTTCAGAATATAGGTCTTGCACTTTTTATGACTTCGTGATAAATTTCAATAAAACTTTACTCGAATACTCGGCGTTTGAACTCGCGATTCGACTCGATTTCAAAAACCAAAACTGTACAATGTAATATACGAGAGTGATTAATTTTTATTGTTGTTTTTTTATCCATACCGACGTTCGACGGACGCATACTTCGCACCGCGACCGCCGTGTATATACGTCGCGCCTGTACAATAAATATAATTACCGCGGAATAAAACGAATCCGACGGAATAATGGAAACGACGCGGTGAAAATCGGCTGATAAATTTTTTACGTTGCGGCCGATTGCCAAACCGCGCCGCCGCCGGAGCTGAGGTCATTGCTCAGCGGGCCCCGCGTTCTTTAGTTTCTATAAACGCGTAAGAAAAATTTTAAAAAACCCGACCCGGAGCAACTGCGGTGTATTGAATCCGTCCGCGTCGTCGTCTATAATTCAGTGGTGACCAACAGCCACGACCCGCGATCATTTATTTAACAGAAGTATTAAATCGAAATCGAAAATAGAAAACAATTCCAAATTTTAAAAATGAACACGCGCATTAAAAAAAAAAAAAAAGATACGTTTTTTACTTTACCGTCGTTCCGCGTACGGAAACTGTACGTGGAAAATACGCGCGGATATTTTGAATTTCGAACCCGTATAATCGCCCCGGATTTTCGAATTGCGACACCCCCCCTTACAAAACGGGCGAGAGGGTGCTCCTCGCGCTCGGATTTTAGGCGTTTTCGTGCCGTCACGATACATCCCGCCGACGTAATCCGACTTTTTTAAATTTTTTTGTTTTTTTATCGAATTTCAAACCACCTCCCGGGGTCCCACACGGCGTTCTGTCTCCGGATATAGACGGGTTTTTCGCGTTTTCCGTCACCCCTCCCCCCCATCCCCGGGGGGGCCGTACCGCGGGACCGTTTCGCGTCGGCATAACACGAGAACGAACGTTATTTGTTTTTCTTTGGGCACGCGGCGCATACGACAAGGTCTTCGCACTTTTACCCCCCCCCTCCCCCCGCCGCTATAATTTGCTGCGAATCGCGCGCGCCTGTTAAAAACGGCAGCGTGATATTGTAATAAGAGCTCGTCGGCGACCTATTGAAATTTAGTCGTACCGATTTTCCCGCGCGCATTCGAAAACCAAAAACGCCGGTCACGTCTGTATAATGTGCGATCGGAGAACGTGATATTTTATGCGGTACGTGACGGGACGGCATTTATGCAAAGGGGCGCGAAAAAACTTTCCAAAATTATATTGTTTTCCATTTAATCTAAATTGTTTTTATTATTATTTATAATTGTACGCGTTTGATGAAACCACTGTAGCACGAGACGAGAAATTCAATGTAAAATTTCGCACGAAATTAACGTTTGAAATAAAAAAAAACGTCAATATTCGACTTGTGCCCCTTTACGCGAAAACCGTCCGTGCAAAGACGAAACACTTGCGACGACCGCAACGAGCTGCGGACGCCCGTTTTCGATTCGACAACGTACGTATCGCGTACGTGCGCGATAAGCACCCGGTATGTTTCCTTTCTCCGCGCCCGTACAATGATATAACGCGGCACGCTATAGTACCGAAACACCCTGTATACAGTGTACGGCGGGCTGACCCGTAGGAAACGCGACGGCTCTCGGATTGCGCCATCGCTCGCGTGCGCAGTCGACCGCGTCTCTTCGCGTCGGACGGTACTCGCCGCACGTACGCGCGCGCCCATAACCGCGTTCGTAACATTGCGGCGTGTCAAGCGCACCTGTAGACTGCGCGCGTGATCCCCTCCCCCGCCCCCGCCGAGTCACTTAGATTATGACCGTAACGAACGGGTCGAAAAACGCGTAGAATATTTTTTCTCCCGGCAGATCCGAAGGGCGGATTCGTCTCCTCTCCCGATACATTACGGACGTGATAACGACCCCCTCCTCCCCTACCCCTCCATCACCCTCACTCATACGATATTTGCGTTTGAAAATCGATAGCTAAAACGAAACGATTTCGTCTTCTGTATAATTATACTGTCGGTGTTCGTGTATTTGATTGAATAACGGTTAAAAACGTAAATGTGACGGTCAACGGAGCGGCGGGACCCCGCGGACTCCACCGCTACTGTGAGCTCGCCCTCGGCCGGGAGGAACAACTATTAGTTTTAATGTACGGTTCGTACGTGTAAACAAATTTACGAGCAAAAGTCTCACTCCGATCAAAAGCCTTGCGGGAACTTTCCGGTGAAAAATCGTATCTTAATGTCGTGAAGATCGTTTTTGTATTCGGTCCGTGGGTAATTCTCTTGATAGCCGGAGGAAACCGTGGCCGAAAAATAATAAACATAGAGGCCTAAAACTTCGCCGACTCTATTTCCGGTAGCTAATTTCGGTAAACATTTAATAAAACCCGATACCGATTTATGAAGTGAAGTCTAAAGCGGTTCGTGTCTGTAGACCAAACGACGAACCGAATGCCAGAGATAAACGATACGATTATTCTAAGCGAAGCGTTGTCGGGGTAACCGACAGAAATCGACGAAAACCCGTGTAACGAAAAAATGGACGGAAAATACAAAACCAAAAAGTTTTACGTAGAGTTTTCGAGGGTTCTCTGTAGAAAAGTTATTCGCTAATGCAAAAAAAAAAAAAAGAAAAAAAAAATAGTAAAAAAGTAAAATCAATACTAGCCGCGCTCAAAACCTAAAACACTCGTAATTTCTTACAAAAACAAGAATATTCTTATCGAAATTGCGTTCCACGCCTCGCACGTAACCCGAAAGAAAACCATAGAACCATAATAAACACCGCGGGCCGACAGTCGCCGTCATTCGTTATTTCTATCATAACGTGTAATATATTATTGCGTATAATGATGATAATGATAACGTTCTCGCCGTGTTTTATTGTCGTCGTCGTCATAATTTTTTCGACCGTGTCCGACTTCGTTTGTTTTTTTTTTTTTCTCATCGTCGTACGCGACTTGTCTCCCGTGGTCTTTTCACCGGCCGCCGCCGGAACACGTCGTTCGAAAACCGAATTCTCGAAGAAACGGATGTTCAACCGTGTCTACACTCAAGCGCGCCCTCGGGATAAAATCCCGCGCGGGGTAAAACGGAGAACACGGTTTTGGTTTCGGAATATTTCATAATGTTAAACGGCGTGCCGTTGTGCGTGACAAAAGTACATGGTCCAGTTGAAAACTCTAAGGGGAATAGCTCTTTTGCTCCTCCCCTCGCTATACGCTACACTTGCGATTTGCATTTCGCGTATGCCGGGACTTTTAGAAAACGCACGCGCCTTTTCCCAAAACCCGTCGGTCTTGGATTTATTCGATTTATTCCGTTGCCCATCGTCAAGACGTCATCTACGAGACTCAGTCGGGTTTTTTCTCGGTGTTTTTATTTTTCAAACGGGTTATGAACGCACTAATATCATTGTGAACCATCGCAGTACGCTAACGATATTGTCGCGTTTAAGTTTCGATAATAACAAATCAATTCGCCGCGCCATAACGCAATCGAGCCGACAGTGCGGAATGTCGCACGTTTTTTAAACGGTGGGGGGGAAGGCACACCGTACGCGGGTACACTGGCGAAACGGACCTAAAATAATCCAGAACCGACCTACAGTCTACCCCGATTCCCCGTCGTTCGTCCAATATTTCGCATTGTTTTCACGAGTCGTGCGCCCCTGCAACGCCGTCATCGTCTATAAATCTAAAATGCAAGCGGCCGTTTCTCAAAGGCCGCGTTCGTTTCGCCGCCGCGATAGAAATCCTTCGCCCAACACACGTACACACGGTGTGAAACGAAAATAGTACACAAACCAACGATCGGAGCGTACTCGTTATTGTATTACGGAAAAGAAAAATCGCGTTGGCCTCGCGTTTTACTATTGCGGGCAAATCGATTATACGCGCGCAGAGCGGTACGCCGAGCGCGGTATGCGCGCAGTTTTGCGCTGCGCCTGTTGTTCACCATTGAAATTCACCGCTCGACGCCAAAAAAATACGACCGATTCTCGGCCGTCCCGTCCCGCGGCCGCGGGGTCCGAAATCGTCGCCCCCCCCCCCGCGTTTTCCGTTTGCGCCGACACCCGGACTGCTGCTGCCGCGTGTGCAACAGAAAACTACTGTTTGCCCCTAACGGTTGTTTGGCCGCTGATAATTCGCCTGTTCGACGTGCCCGAAACAACAATAGCGGACGAATGAATCATTGTTTTCCCCGCGAGAATTTTACGCGACGGTATAGCCGCGGTTTCACCGAGAATCGTAATTTTCCTTCGAAACCGATGACGTAACTTTAACGCGCGGGTGTATGTTAAAAAAACGGTACGCGCTATTTTATCTTTAATCGTTTCAGACGCCTATTTATCAATACTCGCCGTCACGTGTGCACATAAAGTTTAGAACGCCCTGTATTTGTATATAATTTACCATCATTATTAATCGCTTGAACGTCTTTTATATTATTATTATTTTTTTTTTTTTTTTACTTTTCGTACCTACCGTTAACAATAACGGAATTAACGCTTTTCTTGATAACCGCAGCGTTGGTATTATTTGACATTTTTTTTTTACGGATTTTGTTTTTTTTTCTGTTCTGTTTCCCGCACGTACAGGCCGCGATCGCCGTCACCGCCAACAAGAAACTGTTCCGGCGGCGCAACCTCGTCCGGCCCCGCGCGTCCGCGCGCTGTCTGATGGACGCCAAGAAAACGGCGCTGCCGGCCGTCGACGAAGTCCAAGAACCACCGGACTCGTTGGCCACCGCGGCCGCCCGGCTCCTGGAGCGGGACGGCGGCGGCGCAAGCGAACCGACGGCCCGGTACGACGGCCGCGAAACCGACGACGGCGACGACGACGACGACGACGAGTTCTTCTTCGACAGCATCGAGAGCAGCCTGGCCACCAGCCAGGCCAGTTCCAGGCGGCCGCCGCCCGAATGCGATTCCATCGACCTGTCGCAACCGGACGCGTCGTTGACCTGACGCGCCCGCCGCATCCGCCGCGGCGACCGGACCCGGTAACAACCGCGCTTTTTTCAATAATATTACGTGTCGTGTACCTATTATACGTGCCCGCGGTTATTATTGTTACCGTGTATGTGTGTTATATCGGCGTCCTAAAAACGACAAAAAAAAAATATTAAAAAAAAGTTATGCCATTTCTCTCGTCCTCTCCCTATTGTACGAGTGCCCTGTATACAATCGACGCGTCCCTGAATAATAAACGACGACGACGAAAGTTTCGATTTTCCAGTCGCGAAAATCTCGTCGGATATTTTTAGATTCGGAGCGTATTTTTTCGTTTTGTTTTTTTACCCCGATTTTTTAACGCACGAATTTTTTTTAGACGACGGGTTTCGGAGATTATCGACCGCCCGATGCCATAGCGCGCGCACACACACACACACACATACACACGCGTACATATAAAAAAAAAGAAATAAAAAAACGTTTCAAAAATTCAAAAAAAAAAAAAAAAAAAAAAAAAAAAAAAAAAAAACATTCGTTTGCCATCGTCCCCTCGCCGCACAGCACAGCGAGTCCGCCACTAAATTTTCGTCCCGTCCGTTCACGGATCGTGTTATCAATTATTTTTTTTTATTATTATTAATATCGTTTACTAATACAATTTTCATTGTTTCTCGTCGTTTCTTTTATCATCGCATTGCGTTCATTCGGTGCTCCAAAAATTTTTCGAGAATTTCATACGGCAATAATTATTTACGATTACGTATATTGATGTAGCGTCATCAGACGGCAATATTACACGTGTACTTATTTTTTTCTTTTTTCGTCCGTTTGATTTTCAATCACTTTTACCGTACAAATGTTTTTTTTTTTTTCCGTCTCCGTTTTCTCATCGTGTTTAATTCTTCCGTCTCGACATTCCAGACAATACAATAATATTATTGAAACATAAATAAATTAAAACGTCGCGCATCCGACGTGATAAATAATAATAATATTATCCATTTTTATCATTATATATTATAATTATATTGTGTATTTATGTTATAAATTTAGACTGATTATTGTGTAGTAATAATAAATAATTGTATGTGATTCGATATCCCTCACCTCCCCTCCCATCCCATACCCCCCCCCCCCCTACTCGAGAATAAAATCGTATGTACCCATACGTATATTTATATATGTATACATATATATTTTTTTTATCAATCCACGTCCCCGCGCCATTTTGAATTCATTATTAGGTGTATCGTCGTTATTGTAAATTTTTCGTTTTACTTTTCAAAATCGTGGGTTTGATTCCCGCGCAAACTTTACACGTTTTTGAAAAGCCGGGACTTCGTGTCGTAAAACACGCGTAAAAAAAATTTCGCACGCATAATTTAACAATTCCCGTGCATACACGACAATATAATATTATATAAATGTATCCAAAACTATGTAATAAGACGTTCTACAATAACAATCGTGTGTGTCCACTCCCGTTCTCCCTTATTTTTTACCCTCCCCTCCTGTACACCCGCGGTAGTATTATATTATAATCGTCGATCCCCTTGTCACCGGTTTTTTTTTTCTCTCTAAAAACTTTTATTATTTTTTTTTTTTTTCCCCTATCGCATATATCATCGTTATTATATTATAGGTATAGGTTAACAAGACGAATAATATATTGAAAAGAAAGCTCACTGATAAAATACAATAATTTACCGATTTGTACTATGTCGATTATAGAAAATTTTTTTCGTTGTTTTTTTTTTTTTTTTTTTTTTTTTTTTTTTGTAACACGTCACTACAATAAGCGATAAATACATATTATTATCATTATTATTATTATTATTTTTATTATTATTATTATTATTTTATTGCGATTGTAATTTTGTAACCATATTATTTGATATGAATAATATATAATATATTGCATTATATAAGAATATTTATTTTTAAAAAAAGAAATTTATATATATATATATATATAAATAGATATATATATGATATTATAATTATTGTTATTCGAACTTTTACGTGTTATATTATATTATTATATTATAAAACGTTGTAAATGTGTTTTTTTTTTTTTTTAATTTTTTTTTTTTCATTCAGTTTTATTAGATAATACATTATATACTTTTGTGTGAAAAAACAGGTTAGATAAAAAAAAAATGTATATTTAAACGAAATATACGTATACATACGTATACGCATGTTTGAGCGTTTCGTAAAAGAACTATAATATAATATATATATACACGTACATATTATACTATATATTCGTATACAATAAACTCGTGATCTTGTTATGTATACAGTCAGTGTCGTGTGTTTAAAGGAGATTTTTTTTTTTTTACATTTTTTTTTTTTTTCTTCACTACGGTATCCTTTACATAATAACACGTTACGCGCGCTCGTACGGCCTAACTCGGCGACACTCGGAGTCGTGACTGCCGCGGCGTCGTCGGCCGGTTTTTTCCGCGGCCGGTTTCCCGCGGTTTTCGCCGGAGGCACGAAATTCCCCGCCGCGGGAAACGCGGTCCGCGCTGTCGTCGGGCGTGTACAACGGCCGTCGGAAAACCGTTGACAACGGCCGCCCGGGCGGCGCGACATATCGTCGCGCCCTTTCGAAAATCTCCTACCCGGCGACGTAGTTGTTCGTTCGCGGTGTCGTTTCACGTGTTTTTCGCGCGACGCAAAACCTATTCCAGGAATTCCAGAGCGTAAAGGACGGAACGGATACGTTTGTGGAATTCTATTGGTTGTCGATTATAACGCAATAATATTTTAGTATTGATTCTTGATGAGATTAGAAAGACAGGTAGGTCTTACTCCTCGTCAATGCTGTTAATGTGAATTGCACAAAAAACAGCTGGTATACTACTGCAGGTATAGAATATTATACTTTTTTTTTTTGACAGCAATAAAATAAAAAAGGCTGACGTATTTCGGAAAAACGATTCTGAGCGGAGTTCGATCGAAAGTGTGGCTTTATCAACAATATAATAATAATAATATGTCATATTATGGTAAAATAATTACGTATGCATTATATATTTTCTTTAATAATATTTATTTAATATTGTATCTCTTTTATTGTTTTTTTCCGGATTTTTCACATTTATCGGGGAAACTCCTGGGAAAATCAAAAAATCACCTCCCTAAAGTACCATCCCCTAGAAAATTCCATCTCGTAAAAATAACGAAGTCCCTTCCGCTTCTGTTCGTCATATATTATATCCATTTTTTATACCCGAGTGCCAATTAAATTAAATTTAACGTCAATTATTTTGAGAACCAACCGATATTTAGAATGATGCGTGTAGCAATTAATAGTGACACATCAATTTTTTAGTTTTTTGTTACATATTTATTTGTTTTTTAGACTCTGAGTGGAGCTAGGAATGTATTGGTTTTACAATATTTTTTTTTTTTTTTTACGAAAACTTTTTCTGTTAGAAAATTTACTTTGATTATCAAGTATAGCACCTTTTCTGAAAGGAAATGGTCTCCGGGTGAAACTTTCAATTTTTTCAAATTCTCATTAAAATTCGAGATAACGAGGAAAACCGTGTTCTTTAAGTTAAAAAAAGATTGAAATATTAAAAATAAGGTTGTCATTGGCAACCGTTTTTATTTATTTTTTGTTATTTTTTTAAGTTTTTACCATTTTATATCTTTTTATAAACAATTATTGTTGTCACGGAAACGCGTATTGTTGTAATCATTTTACCATAATATCTATGGCATATATTTTGTTGACAAAGCAACACTATGAACTGAACTCCTCTCAGAATCGTTTTTTTCGTAGGCAATGGTTTATCGTTGCTTACAGATGTACATTAAATTCCCGTCTGTACCCTACCTTTCCAACTTCCCACCTACAACAGTGATGGCTGCAACCACGTGCGAAGTATGTCCGTCCTTATTTTATATGTTAATATTGTGTTACTGTTAATCCTGTAATATCGGTCTCGGCCCGTTTGGCGTAAAAAAAAAAAAAAAAAAAACAATAATAATAAAGTATATGACGTATAATTGATTATTGTACCAAAAACAAATTAACCCAATGTACCGGGTTTAATACCCGGTATTTACCCAGACGAATATTTACCGGAGCATTATACCCATCTCAGCTGCAGTTGCCGCACGCCTCGTAATATTATATTACCCGTCGTGTCGCCGCGTTGACGCGTACGGGACACGCGGATACGTTACGAGCGCCGTTTCTCCCCCCGCCCCCTCGAAACGACGGTTTTTTTTTTTATTTTTTTTTAATTATTATTATTATTATTATCATTTGTTTTTTTTTCAGTCGGCCGCTCGTACAAAACGCACACGTGTTGTCGTACACGCGTGTGTCGCGCGTGACAAATTGTCGTCTCCGCCGGCCGTATATTATTATGATTATTATTGTAACAATATAATAATATCGTCATCTGTTTTCGCTTTTGACTAGTGTTGCGGCCGGGGAATATTTTTTTCGTCGACGGGCGTACACAACGATAATAACACGACGAACACGAATTGTTACTCTCGGCGTGCGAATAAGAAATCGCGCGATCGATATATAGGTTACCCGCGCGAGTATATTATGCGCATTCGCGTGGGATTCCGGTCGGATTTCCGGACGCGAACTTGTAAAACCAAGCACCTCGACACCTCGTCTGTCCGCGTTTTAGGTTTTAGATTTCTGCGCCGACGAAAAATGTATACCGTCCCGGCGGAACCGAAATCGAACCCGACGCGAATAAGCCTATTAAAACGATGATAATTACGGTCGTAAACGGTCTTCTTCTTTTGGTCCATCTTCCGAAAACGGAAGTTTGGCGACCCTTCAATTGACGGCGTTGGCATTAATCAGCTCTGTCCGGAGCTCGTGGTTTTCTTCCGACCGAATGACGATGGCGTCTTCCGGGGGATAGCCAGAAATGATCTTGATCTGCTCTATCCTGCAACGCATTCGTGTTCTCGCGCGGCTCCTTTTCTCTTCTTATGATACGGCCAAAGAACCTCAGTGTCCT